GCCCTAAAAAATTAAAAAAGAAATTTATCTGTTACAGAGTTCAGATGTAAAGATGCTCAACAGCATGTGAAAAGATATAGTAACTCTGAAGAATAATAGAATTAATAAAGAACACAGGGGAAGGAATACACAACAGAATAGGGGAAGCAGAGCATAGGATCAGTGAATTAGTAGATAGGGTAGAAAAAAATCACACAGAGAACCAAAAAGAAAAAAACAATTGCAAAACTGGAAGACAGATTAAGGGAGCTGTGGGACAACATGAAATTTAATAATATTTGCATAATAGGCGTGCCAGAAGAAGAGAGTGAGCAAGGCATAGAGGATGTGTTTGAAGAAATAAGGGCAGAAGTCTTCCCTAACCTGGTGAAGAAAAAAAGGAGTTTATCACCACCAAACCAGCACTGCAAGAAATGTTAAAGGGACTGCTGTAATGAGCAGAAGTAGAGGGAAAGAAAAAACTAGGCATACAGAATTAAAATGGCAATAAATAAGTTCCTATCAATAATATCCTTAAATGTAAATGGATTAAATGCTCCAATCAAAAGACATAAGGTTACTGAATGGATACAAAAACATGACCCAATTATATGCTGCCTACAAGAGACCCATCTCAGAACAAAAGATACAAACTGAGAGTGAAGGGATGGAAAAAAATTTTCCATGCAAATGGAAACTAAAAAAATACCTGGGGTAGAAATACTCATACCTGACAAAATAAACTTCAAATTGAAGGTCATCACAAGAGACAACAAAGGTCAATATATAATTGCACCTGGTAAACATATATGCACCCAATATAGGAGCACCTAAATATTAAAAAAAAAAAAAAAGACTTCAAGAGGGCTTTAAGGGAGAGATTGACAGCAATACATTCATAGTAGGGGACTTTAACACTCTGCTTACTTCACTGGACAGCTTTTCCAGACAATAAAATTTACAAGAAAACAGGGACTGTAAATGACACACTCGATCAGATGGATTTAATTGACATTTATAGAACATTTCATCCTAAAGCTACAGAATATACATTCTTCTCAAGTGCACATCAGTTATTCACAAAGATAGACCACATGTTAGGACACAAAACAAGTCTATACAAGTTCAGGAAGAATGAAATCATACCAAGCATATTCTCAGATCACAATGGATTGAAATTAGAAATCAATTATAGTAATAACACTCAAACACCTGGAGGTTGAATAGCATGTTATTAAATAATGAATGGGTTATCAATGAGATCAAGAATAAAATTATGCCCTAACGAGTTTGGCTCAGTGGATAGAGCGTTGGCCTGCGGACTGAAGGGTCCCAGGTTCGATTCCGGTTAAGGGCATGTACCTTGGTTGCAGGCACATCCCCAGTAGGGAGTGTGCAGGAGGCAGCTGGTTGATGTTTCTCTCTCATTGATGTTTCTAACTCTCTATCCCTCTCCCTTCCTCTCTGTAAAAAATCAATAAAATGTATTTTAAAATAATAATAATAAAATTAAAAACTTACTGGAAACCAATGAAAATGAACACACAAGAACCCACAATGTATGGGACACAGCAAAAGCAGTCCTTAGAGGGAAGTTCATAGCACTACAGGCCTACCTCAAAAAAAAAAAAAACTACAAGAAAAATTAATAATAAATTATTTAACCCTAAAACTTAAAGAATTAGAAAGATT